ATATATTAAATATATATATATTAACAATCTGTGAAAATACATATAAACGTTAATTGTATTTTAATCCACTGTTTAGGCAGTACTCCAAGCAGTATTTCAGATCCTTGGATTGAAAATGCAAATAATAAACCAATTGGTCCAGGAAATCCTTTTCTCGATTCAAGTTGGAATCGTCCTAAGCCTGGATCAAGCAACTCATACAATGATAGAAATGTGATTCCTCATGAAGAAAACATAAAGTCTGTTGGTCAAAAAAATCTTTTTCTGAATAATGACAATAGAAGGGGAGATAACAATGCTAATCCTAATGAAGGTGTAAATCCGCTTGAAGAAAAGATATCAAAAGGAAATAATCCTTTCCTTACACCTTTGATAGGTGGAAGTGATGGTTCAAATAGACCATCATACAATAAATATCCAGATAAATTAGGAACACCAGAAAGTTTTCCTGGTTCAGGAACACCAGGAAATTATCCTGGATCGGGAATACCAGGAAATTACCCTGGATCAGGAACACCAGGAAATTATCCTGGCTCAGGAACACAAGGAAATTATTTTGGCTCAGGGACACTAGGAAATCATCCTGGATCGGGAACACCAGGAAGTTATCCTGGATCGGGAAGCAATTCTCAAGGTCCTAATCCAATACAATGTAAGCTGGGTCTGTTTGGTTGTGGGGCACCTGGTAGTGGAAGTTACGCAGGTGGCAAACACTCAGGAGGAACATTCGGCGGAAATGTTGGAACCGGTACTGGAAATCCAGGCATTGATAATGTTCCTGGTGGGAATCCCGGAAGTGGGGGATTCGTTGTCGGCGCAGATCATCCAGGAGGGAATAATTTAGCATCGTCCGTTAGCGGTGCTCAAGCGCGAGCTTACGCTGGATCTTTCAGTTCTGCTCAAGCTTCCAGTTTTGCCGGCTCTTTTCCCAGCGCGTCAGGTTTGTTACTTGCAAAAATGTGTTTTAATACTGGACATTTGCAAAATATAATTCTGTGAAAAAAATTTGAAAGTGCGATTTATATTCAATAGCTGGAGGGGCGAGGGGGAGGGGAGGAACATCACGTTTTAAAAATAAAAAATATATAATCAATACCATTCTTAAAATCATGAAAATTATAATTTAGAACACAATATTTTGCAATTATTTTAAAATTAAAAAATCTTTTTGATTATAAGATATGTTATTGCAAACATTGGATCTCAAAATATAATAATTACATTATGGACACGAACAGTAAAACTTATTGACAGTGATAAAAATGATATCGTAATTTAAATGTACTAGAAACTGCGCTTCTTTATTTATATTAAAATTAAAATTGATGATCCGAAAATGAACAGGCAAACAAACGACTGTTTAAAATTGGATAACCAGCGTTGCGTTAACAAGCCACACGATCATTAAAGTTAGAACGAGAGAGTATGTGCCGATTGTAAATCAAGTCAACGATGCGTTCATAATTCCACAGCATTTATATCCCTGCGATGTCAAGTAGATCATACCGATGGAAGTTTTCTCACGGCTAATATGACACCTTAGCGAGACATTGTAGCGGTATTTTTTGAAACGAAACGAATATATGCGAGATAAGAACGTAATCTCTTTCACAATGAGAAAAATGGCCTCAAGGTCAGCTACGTTTGCATTACGAGGGATTGGAAATACGCGTGTGATTGATGCGTTCCTTCGTACAATGATGCATAAATCAAAGATAGTAGCATCTTAATTAATAGTAAGCGCCGGTTTCAAGTATCCGTTTCCGTTCTTTGACTACGAAAGCTGTTATACACATATACATACAATTCGTAACGGCCATAATTAATTTACCATATCAGTAATATCTAGCGATCATTATTTTTTAATGCATTTCTGTTTATTATAAAATAATAGTAAATGTCAGCAGTTTGTAATAATTCAGCTATTTAACAAGATTTATATGATATTTTATAATATTTGAAATATTTATAAACAAAAGTTAAATTTAATTTAAATTATATTATGACGAACAAATTTCATTAAAGATAAAATGTTGATTTTATTAGATAATCTTAAACAAGTTCTTACTTATTTTATTTGAGAATATGTGACTTAAAAGTTCTTAGCACACTAGTATATAAATAAAATGCGAAGATGACAATTGATCTATGTAAAAATCTATTAAACTTTGTGTTCGCAGGATCCGCCAATAATTTTGGTAGAAATTTGTCTCCTAATGGAGCACAAAATCAAGATGGACTTAATTCTTGGGCTTCCAGTGGTGCCTCTGCTTTTGCCAGTAGTAGTGCCGGAAGTAAGTTTTCAATAGGATTATTTAAACACTATTCACAGAGACGTAATTATTTAATGTAAAAATTATAGAAAAGAATGTTAAAATATTAAAATGTTATTGCAGGTTGGTCAGGAAATCATCCTATCGACGTGAAAGGTTAACCAGTAATCGAAAGACGAATATTAAAATATAATAAATACAGACGATGACATAATTCTGAAATATATTACAATATATATTTGATGTCTCGTCACTTAATCATAAAATACTTAACATCTGTCATGTAAAGCTTTATGTATAAAGAGATTTTATATTTATTTGACGTATCGTTTATTTATTGTAATCGATATGAGTGGATAAAATTTTTCCTTTGTACATATCTTATTGTTAGTTATCTGATGAAAAAATAAATAGATTTCTCAGAATACGTATATAATAATGGTTTACATCACATGTCCTTATTATCAGTTATTTCGATAATTGCCAATGTAATATTCCATTCCATGTTTTTTAACTGTAGAGTTATAACTATAATCCGTTAAAAAACGTTAATTTTCAATATTTTTGCTTTATTATTTATCATTGTCTTATTGTTATTTTAAGCAAGATAGATCCCATAATTAAGTTCTTAAATCAATACAAAGGGACTCTTAATTTTCCATGACAATAAGACTTGATTTTATCTAAGAGAATGAATGATCAACGTATACAACGTAAACACCCAGTATATATTAATGAGCGAACTATTATCCTTAATATTCTTACGACATAGAAGTAATTACAATTCGTTGAGAAATGTATAAAAAATTTTTAGTTGCATAGATTCAGTCTTTCTTCTGGATTCCGCTGTTTCTTCAGTTTACAAGCGTCATGAAGATCATCATATTAATTTATACTCTATTAATATTATTAATTCAACTATCTAATGCACAGTGGAGTAAGTTTTATTATTTATGTAATGAAAATATTCTTTAAAGAGTATGATCAATGGAAATAATAGCACCATAGTGTAATTCTATTATTAATTATAATCTAATGTAGAATAATTTAAATTCAATAATAAAATTTATATCTTGGAAGCCAATATTTTATTGTTATGGCTATTTTATAAAAGCAGTTTTAATTAATAAAAATTAATTTAATTAATAAAAATTAATAAAAATTTTATTTAATTAATAAAAATTTATATTTTAAAATAAATTTGATTTTCACTACATTTTATAAACATAAA